GGGCGGTACCTATGTTGACGGACAGGTGTGTTGACGGACAGGTGGGCGGTACCTATGTTGACGGACAGGTGTGTTGACGGACAGGTGGGCGGTACCTGTGTTGATGGACAGGTGTCAGCAGTGAGGCGACGTGTTGTTGACACTCTTTTAAAGACAGAAGAACTTGAGCTTCAACTTTCCGCCAGCAGCCCTGAAAACAATTGATTCTATTATGTTGTATTATTGATCAGCCAGGTATTACCAATAATATTACCAATAATCAATTAGGTGTGCACTGACAGTGAAGTGTTGTTCCAGGTGTGTTCTGAAGGTGTTGAAAGCAGCTGTGATGCCTGATGTGAGGTCTGACTCTAGTATAGGTGCCTTCCTCTCTAAACCTTCCTCTGCACCTCCATCAAACACCTTCTCCTCCTCCGCAGGAGGAGGCTCTGCCCCCTCAGGTAACCCCTCTGAGACCAGGTGAGCAGTAGGTTTATCAAACACGAGCCAAACACTGAGGTTGCTTAAAAGTGATCAAATGAATGGAACGAATTAAAAAGAAAAGAATCAATGTACATCAAACTACCTGTCAGAGGTGATTTAGTTACCTCCCCCTTGGTCTGAGACCCCGCCCTCTTCTTCTGTGCAGACACACCCTCAGTTTGGTCTGACAGGTAGCCTTCACATAGAAAAACAAGTTCACTTAACCGAGACCAACATTAGTTCAAAATATACTGTGATATGAACAACAGACGATAGCTCAGAATTATTTTAGATTTTATATTAAATGTCCTCTTTAGTTCATTTTGTCTTCATATATCATAATTGATCCATTTCTAAAAATATTGTGTGCATAAGTCAGAATGAGAGTCAATGTTCTGATTTACAACAACTGTCCCCTAATCAATTAGAGTGAACACTGTCCTTTAAGTCCTTCCTGTGGCAGAAACACCCCCCCAGGTGTTCACACCAATCAGCACCTGAGTCTGCAGTCGCTCTCTTCCTGCCACAACTCAATACTTCCTGGACCAGGAGACAGGTGAGACAGGTGAGACAAGTAAGGCAGGTGAGACAGATGAGGCAGGTGAGGCAGGTGATGACTTTTATTGAGGAATCAAAGAAGAAACGTACCTTTATGAAAGGAGAGCTGCTTCCTCTGAACACGTCTGTCTCTTCTTGTGACATCTCAGGGACAGGAACACCTGGGAGACAGACAGGTTCAGGGACAGGAACACCTGGGAGACAGACAGGTTCAGGGACAGGAACACCTGAGAGACAGACATCCTTCAGATTTCATTCAATCAAACCATTTACATTCCATTAACATTCAGTGATTATGTCCGTATGTTTTATTGTGGTGGGGTCCACCTTTCCCGTACTGGATTCAGATACCTGGACAGGAAATGATGCAGCATGTAATCCAGAGTCTCTTTATTGTTGTTGTTTGTCTCTTTTTTGAGGATCTGTACTGTTTGTTTGCTGCACTGTAAACTCACACACACATTAATCAAACAGTGCGAGTCTGACCTGAGTCATATGTTGGAGTTGAGTGTCTGATCTGATCAAACAGAAACTCTGCTGTGCTTCTCCCTGGAATCTGAAAACAACAACAACAAGTCACTCAGATTTCAGTCCCAACAACGTGTTTATATTTATTAATGCTGTTTTTACAGTGTAGTTACCTTCATTACAGACGAGTCGTCTTCACTGCTCGGAGACGACAGAGGCAAAACTGGACCACAGACCGATAGACAGACAGACAGACAGACAGACACAGTGAATGTGCTTCTAATGACAGTAAACGCTACAGCGGTCAGCAGGGATCGCTCACTCTTCAGCTGACTCTTGCTCTGTGGTTTCTTCCTGCTGTAGGATCTACCACTCTGTTTGGCAGCAGAGGGGAACACCTGGACTGTACCACCTGGGCATTCGACAAAGGGGGAACTCTTCCCCTTCTGTTCATACAGACAGAAAACAGAAGTCAGAGGAAGTCCACTCACTGCTCACATCTGAAAACACAAAGAAAGTCTTATTGGAAGGAAGCAAGGAAGGAAGCATGGAAGGAAGCAAGGAAAGAAAGGAAAGAAGCAAGGAAGCAAGGAAGGAAGCAAGGAAGGAAGCATGGAAGGAAAGAAGCAAGCAAGGAAGAAAAGACAGACCGACAGACAGACAGACACCATGAAGACTCTCCCAGCAGCCTCCTCCAGCTCTCGGTGGTGTTCACAGTCAAAGTTCAGCTCCACTGTCTGACCTCTGCTGTTGTGGTGCATGATGGGATTGTTGAGCCGCACACTTAGGACTGTCTCTGCCCCATTGCATCCTGGGAAAACACCCACAGCAACTGTTGAAGTGTGTAAGAGCATCAGTGAGTCCTTTATGAAGGTGTTGGTGAACTTACTGACCGTCACGTTTCAGCTGAACGCTGTAACGATCCACTTCCTCTTTGAGCAGGTGGACGGAGCCCCACAGGAAACCCTGAGAGCCAGAGACACCAGTGTGATCACAGCGGCCCCAGTTCCTATCGTTCATGTTAAAGAGCCGTTCAATAGATTTGGTTCCTATCGTTCACGTTAAAGAGCCGTTCAATAGACTCGGTTCCCATCGTTCACGTTAAAGAGCCGTTCAATAGATTCGGGTTTGCGGCTCTTACGTTCATATCGAATTTTGTGTTGTGTATAGCCCCTTTCACACTGCCCAAAAAAACCTATGTAAACCCGCTAACACCCGATATTAATCGGCTTCATCTCCGATCGGCATTGATGTGAACGTCACACCTGGGTGAACCCGCTAATTTACTATAGATACTGTAACCAGTAATACCTGTAGTAACTATACATACTGTAACAGTACACACTGTATGTTACTTATGAATACTGTAACAGTTAACAATGTAGTACTATAATACTGTAACAGTAACACCTGTAGTACTATAATACTGTAACAGTAACACTTGTAGTACTATAATCACTGTAACAGTAACAACTGTAGTACTATAATCACTGTAACAGTAACACTGTAAGTACTAAATACCTGTAACAGTAAACACCTGTAGTACCTATAATACTGTAACAGAAACACTGTAGTAACTATAAAACTGTAACAGTAACACTGTAGTACTATAATACTGTAACAGTAACACTGTAGTACTATAATACTGTAAGCAGTAACCCACTGTAGTACTAATAAATAACTGTACAGTAAACAAACTGTAGTAATGTATAATACCTGTAACAGTAAACACTGTAGTACTATAATACTGTAACAGTAACACTGTAGTACTATAATACCTGTAACAGTAACACTGTAGTAACTATAATGTACTGTAACAGTAAACACTTGTAGTACTATAATACTGTAACAGTAAACACTGTAGTAATAATTACTGTACCAGTAACACTGTAGTACTATAATACTGTTAACAGTAAAACTGTAGTACTATAATACCCTGTAACAGTAACACTGTAGTACTATAATACTGTAACAGTAACAACTGTAGTTAACTATAAATACTGTAACAGTAAACACCTGAGATACTATAATTACCTGTAGTACTATAGTACTATAATACTGTAGTACTATAGTAACTATAATACTGTAGTACTATAGTACTAGTAATGATGTAGTACTATAGTACTAATAATGACTGGTAGTACTATCAGACTAATAATACTGTAGTACTATAGTACTTATAATACTGTAGTACTATAGTACTATAATTACTGTAGTACTATATACTATTAATACTGTAACAGTAGTACTATAGTAAACTATAATACTGTAACAGTAAATACTTGTAGTATATAAACCTGTAACAGTAATAACTGTAGTACTATAATATGTAACCAGTAATACTGTAGTACTATAGATACTGTAAACAGTAATACTGTATACTGATAATTGTAAAAGTAATACTTGTAGTACTATGAATACTGAACAGTAATTACTGTAGTACCTATCAAAATACTGTAAACAGTAATACTGTAGTACTATAATACTGTAGTACTATAGTACATAAATATGTAGTAACTATAGTACTATAATACTGTAGTAACTACTAGTATTATAATACTGTAGTACTATAGTATATAATACTGTAGTACTATAGTCATTATAATACATGTAGTACTACAGTATATAATACTGTAGTACTATAATCTGTAAACAGTAATACTAGCGCTGTGGTTCTACCTGAGGGTCAATCGATGAGAAGCTCAACGCATCCTGAACTGAAGGGTTGAAATCGGATCCAGAACTTGTCCGTTGTCATCTTTTGGAGGAAACAGCTGCAAAGAAGAAGAAACAACCAGCGTGACCTGCAGAGGTGAGACCTGCAGAGGTGCAGACTTAAGTAAGAAATGTTTTACCTCTGGTGGAGTCGAGGAACGCCTGAGGCCAGGGGAAGCTGTAGACCCTGACAGGACACAACGCAGGGAAAAATCACCCCACCTTGAAAGAGAATGTGATCACAATTCAGGTTCAATAAGTTCATTCACCCTCCTGGTCGCCATGGTGACCATTGACAAATTCAGGAAAACGGCGACAGTCCTGTAGAGAGGAAAGACAGATCAGAGAGAGACAGAGACAGAGAGAGAAAGACAGCTCAGAGAGAGACAGAGACAGAGACAGAGACAGAGAGAAGAGAGAGAGAAAGGTCCAGAGAGAGGAGAGCGAGAGAGAGACAGTCAAGGGAGACAGAGAAGAGAGGACAGAGAGAAAGAGACAGGTCAGAAGAAGAGACCAGACACAGAGACAGAAAGAGACGAGAGAGAGTAGAGAGAGAAGGACAGAGAAGAGAGAGACAGACGAGAGAGAAGATACCAGAGAGAGAGCAACAGAGACACGAAGGTCAGAGAGAGGAGACAAGACAGAGAGAGACAGAGAGGAAGAGAGAAGAAGACAGAGA